TATGCTTTTCCACTCTTTGATGATAAGATGAAATCATCAACCGTTGGTTCTTTTTCAACACTGGGAAGTATTTACCAGGATTCTGAATCAATTATTCATTCTAGACCACCACTCCATGTGCCACCCACATAACAAAACAAAGGTCCAAACAAAACACACCAATGGAAAATAGCATGTCCAAAGCCTATAACACATAAAACACATGAGTAAACATTATACCTAACCTCAGTGACCAGCACCCATCCCCAGTCACACTCCCATAACAGAAGATTAATCACTGACAAGGGTCACACAATGTGTTAGCCTGCCTCAAAGTGCCGCATAATAATCACACAAACACAAATAAAAAGGGGGGATAAAAAAGGGGGGATACTCTCACACCATCATCTCACAGAAGCTGCAGCTGCGCACTTTGTCCATTAGGTGTCGCTCAATTACTGCACCTGGTGCCTCCAGCCCCCAACCTCTGGCCCGGACTGTCTGGGTTCGTAATTGTCATCGACCAATCACACAAGAGGTAGGCGGGTCCCCATTGTTACTACAGATACTCAGAGAAGTTTGCACCGACCTGCTGCTGCACCTATGAGTCTCCACGTTAATGAATAGCCGCGGCCCGCGCGAGACTAACGAGCCGATTATGCCGAGATAAAGTGCCTCTGACTCGCGCTCTGTCCGATAATGGCATGCGATGGTTCATCCGCGGAGGATTTCCCGGACAAAGTGATGCACATAACAGCTCCCTGCACGTGCAACAAGAAGTGCAGGAGTCGGAGCAGCAGTGTTGTCTTCCTGGGATTATTCCTACTGTCGCTGTCTCTGCACGCTGTCACCCTGGTCTGCTATTTGGACCTGCGTTCCGAAGTCAAAAGGGAAATTATCCACCAGAAGCGGGATTCAATAATGACACTTGCCGGGAGTGACATGGCTGACCCGGCGGCGCTGCTCTCACCCGGCCACCTGGACTCCGTCAGCAGCCGCGGCGCAGAGGGTCCAGAGGTAAAACATATATTTTCAAAGAGTGTAACAAAAATTGAAAAGGCCGCTAATGGAAGGTGACATTGTTTTCATTCCTCACACGGAGGCTGTTCGTGTTCATTCACCTCTGCTCAGTCCTCCTGTTCCCGCATCAAGGTGTCAGGTTCTGTGTCTGTGCTCTGTCATGGCATGTTCCTGGGCAACTTATTTTACAGTAGCCTGTCACGAAGTTTTGCCAGTCTCAGTTTCCAGACAAATATCTATGTTTTGAGTCACTGCTCCCGTGTGCATGATTAAGCCTCTTGGACAGAGATGCACCAAGGTATACACGTTAAAGTCTGTCACCTGGCCAAAGTCTTATGTTCAGGTAAACGCTTCCAGGGAGGCATATCAATGAAGGTTTCAAATGTTGCCAAAAAAACAAGAAACTGCAGAAAGAAAACTCATCAGTTAACTCGTTTTTTTCCGAAATGAATTTTGTTGTAATCAAACTGCATTTAACTTGATTTGACTTGTTTCCAGAGCTCCCTCTGAGCAGACAGAGGTAGATTCTTAGGCAGCCTGCCCAGCTGGATTCACAGAGAGGGGTCAGTCAATGTGCTGCAGCAGGTGGACGGAAAATGAACTGGATCACCAGCAGGTGCAAAGCCCAAGGGCTGATGTAAATTCATCAGGACTTAGATGGGGCAGTTGGTACTTGGAGCTAAGCCAGCCTCGTCTCACATGTGTTTTCTTTTCTGGCAGCGGCCTGATTGAATGTTCATTGTGTTGTCTGTGGCTTTGGCAACAGACCACCAGCCCCCACCAACACACAATCCCTAATTTCATCAGTACAAAGGGACCAAGCGTAGGTCTCAACTCTGTATTACTTGTTCAATTAGCTCACATGTCACCGGTTGTGTAACCTCTTTGCAGAGAAAATGATCCGCTGTGTGGGGTATTGGCTGGACATTCAGCTAAGCAGAGAAATCTACTTGATAGTCACTCAGAGGATGGAGGCAACATTACAAAGATAAATTGCTGCAAATGGTCTGTATAACATTTTCCCCTCACAAGTGGGGAGCTTAGCCTATTCATGTAGTTGTCAGTGTGTCCTTTGCTAAGCTTATTTTAGTTTGGTTTCCCTGGTTAGAGCCGAGTGAGATGGGCCTGGTATTCAACCCAGATGGGGACGCTTCATGAGGTGAAAGACTGTGGCCCAGCTGTAAATATTTAACAGCGCTGTGATGCTGTCCTTGCCAGATGTCTGCATTAAACAACTCTGATTACACATCCCACAGTTTACATAGTTGGAGAAACAGGAGCATGTGGCATTTGGACGCAGCGGCCACACTTGTTAGCTTTTGAGGCATTTCCTTTGAAGAATCTGTACTGTAGAGCTACAGATTGTTTATTGGATTTTTCACACAAGTCTTCATCAAAGGCAGCATCAGTGTGATTGGATGTGATGTGCAGGTATACAGACAAGTGTAACAGAACATGGAAAGCCTTCAGAGAAAACAAAGCAAAAACAAGCTATAGGAACAAACGTACACCCCACAAAAAGACATACATGAAATAAAGCAGACATAATACCAGTGTCTCGCTTCAAGGAATAACAGTAGGGAATATCGGATAGTCTGGTCAGTGTCAAAAGTTTGGAGTAACTCTTTTGTTTAGAAGCTTTTTAAGTAAAGCACAATAGAAAGATAACTTTTTTGTTTAGATTATTGGTTCATGGAGGATTGACTTTCCTTTTTAACTGGAAAACAAAATCGAAAATCGACATTGACATGAGTTCTATAACAGAAATATTTTCTTTAAGTGGCTTTGAAACAAGCACAGGTGTTTTCTTTGTAGTTGGCTTAAATAGATTAAAACCCCTGTCCTCTTTTACTCCAGAACTAAATTAAGCTTAACTTTAGTTATATAACATTTATATTTTGTTCCTATTTTAAGTTTGGTCAAATCTTAAATTCATTTTATCCCATTTTTGTCTTCTATTCATCCACCACTGGTCATTTTTTTTCAGGAGGAAAATGATATCTAGTATCAAGGCATTTTTCTACTGAAAGCGTATCTCCAGAACAGATCTGAACAAAAGTGATCGTGGCTATTAATCTAAGATAAGGATCTAGGCTATACAAGCTGTAACACAGTGTCTGATCGGTGTTGTGTTTTGTGAACAGAGAAGGGACTGCTGCTACTTTAGTTTGCAAATATGGCAAATCAAACTTGCACATTTGTAACAATATATTTATATTTGAGTCTGTCAGGATATCCAAACCTTTTTAGAGTGCAGTTTCCTCAGATGTAGATTCAGAATTTGGTAGCAAATTATTGAAATGTTTATAGATCTTTAGAGATTTAGATCTAGAAATAGTGCTTATTGAACCCGGAAACCTTTTTTTTTTTTTTTTAAATGGTGGGAGAAATGTACCTGTTTCCAGCTTGCACTTAAAAATAACAAACCCCTAAACAGCTCACACTGTGTCAGATCTAACTAGTTGCTTCTTAATGAACGCAGATGATGTGGTCATTTATGACCCGGGCCTGGGGAGTGAAGAAACAGTCTTTCCCTCAACATTCACAGTCGGTATGCCCTTGAGCAAGGCAGTAAATCCCAGCTGTCCAGCAGATCTGCGCAGTTCCCAACATTAAAAGTCCCTCCCAGGTGTGTGTAGCTCTTAGGAGTGTGATGCAGGCCATTACTGAATTAGAGCAAGTGTCACTCACAGCCTGACCCTTAATCACCTCAGTGAGTGACACATTGTAAAAGTCAACCCATGGAATATTTAATTGTGTTAGCTCAGATAGCGTTTTATTCTTCAGCCTAAAAAAATTCATATAACCATTATATTAAATAATTTTCTCCTCTGATGTATGCCTTCAAAGTCTCACAGAGAACAGATGCTAAAACATCTGGAGTCTAGTTAACGGCTATTAAAAAAAGTCAGTTTGATGGGACACAAAGTCCTCAGCAGCATACAAACTGTGGGGCGCCGGGGTGGGCTGTCACCCACATCTACTTTAATTGTGACCAGTGCATGATTAGTTAAAACAGCAGTATGATATGAGCAGAATGGAGCAAGCCTCCATGTAAGGAATTAATCAGTATTGACACAAGTGTCATAAAAGCACAATGCAGAGGAGGTCGAAACATCAGAGATATGAGGCTGCAAACTTTTCCATATAAGACTGAATTGTCTTGACAGACCGATGGTGTAGACGCCCAGTAAAGATTAAGTCCAGAGTCACAAATCATCCACCAAAATAATAAATTCTCCAAGCATTCACAGCATTCAGCTAGAAGTCACTTTGCCAGCAGTGTTGCAACAATGTGAAATGTGATTGGCTGCTGACAGACAACATTTCCCTTAGGTTGAGCTCCACAGCTTTTTTTAGATGACAATCTATGGATGCTGTTATTAAATTACCCAAGTTATGGTTTAAAACACATGGCCTTCCAGAGAGCAGTGTCTGATATTGGCTGAGCTGAGGACAGTCCTCTATTTAAATGATATTTAAGAAGAGAACACGCTGTTACAGTGACAATTCTCAGCAGTATGCATGCCATTACACTAAGTAATGCTTGTACAGAAGTAATGGGCACCGAGTCTGCATTTGGTACTCGCAGCCACAAGCCCCGAGTTTCACCTCTTCAACTTTTTAACTTTAACCGCAATTACATTAATATTTTTAGTCTGAGACTGTTTCAGCAACCAGAATGTCTGGGAAACAGTATTGGTCCAAAAAAACACTGAACCCCTTGCCTCTTATTTTCCTAAACAGCCTGAAAAGTTATGAATGTACTGTAAGGGATCTGCTGTGGTGTACATTCAGGAATGTGTAGAGATACAAGCTATTGTAATAGTGTTAAAAACGTGTTAATAGGGCAAAAGAAGTCTTGTGATGACTAAATTACACATCCCTGGGGTGACTGATTTTTAGTCATATCCTCACGAAACAACAGGGAATCTCGTCCTCTGCGCGCAACAGCCCCCCCCACGCTTTGAAGATTTGAAAGCCCTCTAATTAATAGCATTTTTTCCCTTGTGCTGAAAAAGAATGGTTTACTCAATAGTTGGCACTTGGCATACATACCAACACGTTGTCATCCTGATTTACTGTAACTCTGCGTGCCTTTGAAGGGTAAGAAGGCTGTAAATGTTGTAATGAAGTGAAATGAAGCAAACAACGGCGCAAAACCCTTTCTCATAGTCGTATAATGGGATGACTTTTTTTTTTATCACAGTTTCCTTCATCTGCAACCCCAGGCACACCAGTTTTGGTAGTAGCTTTGCAGATTGCTTGTTTGTTTTTTTGTTATTCTTTTGGAGCTTAATTCCCGGGCCAGAAATTGGCTGTTGAATCATGTTTGGCTGTCAGAACAGACGAAAGTGTAATGCCATATGCCTGAACATACACCCAGAATCCTTTGAGAGGTAAAAGCCCCCTATATGCCAACAGCTGGAGAGGAGATGTGGAGACACCTGCGCACCAAATGAACAGCGAACGTCGCTGCTCGCGGGAACATCTGGCTGTGTGTCGACGAACCGCTCCAACACATACTCCTCCATCAGGCTGGAATTCCCGTGCTTATAAGGTCAGACATCGCTGGCAGCTGGTCAGTGTTGTAGACTTTAACTACTTTGAGCTTGCCAGCGGGGGGTGTTTGACATGATAAAGCTCATCCCTCACCACAATGGCGGGGGGGGGGGGGTTCCCCACATCTGAGACGAGGTATAGAAGAAACTGGAAACATAACTTCTCGTGTCTGTCTTGTCGGTCTTTCAGTGGCTCTGCTTGAAAACCACACAAAGAGGCACTGGGAGTTCACAGTGCTTTCCAGAGAAAGACTTTTCTCACCGTCGGGGTTTAACAACTATGTTTACTTGAGCGCCACAGCTGGAAACTGGGAGTATGTCATCTTGTACGTACCCAACTGGGATAAGAAAGGTCAAAGTGTCTGTCAGTAAGCTTGTCTGATTCATTCCCAGCAGTAAGGAATAAATGATACATCATTATTTATTATCTTTTGATCCATGCTAAGGGGGAGCAGGTGTCACTGCTTCAGAGATGTCAGTTATTCAAACTCCAAGCAGATGTCCGGCACAAATATACAAGTTGCCTGGTCGTATGTCCTCAGCTATCGAGAGCTTTATTCCTGACAATATTAATATTATTTATGCTGACTGAAAACGATCTTGTATATTAAGGAGCTCGACGAAAAGAAGGCTTTGGGTGGTCTTGTTGTGCCGAGTTTCTTTGTCTATCGTATTCTGGGATTCCTCCAAAGATGTGATCAGAAACTGGCAGTTCTAACACAAAGTGACTCTTAAACGATCTTCGTTTTTATACTCTGAATCCTTAGCACGAAACATATTTTGTTGTCAGAGCCGGTCTCGTCTCGAGCGTGCTACAGTCAGGTCAGCACGTCCTACAGAGTTCATGTGAATGTAGGTCGACCATAACCAGTCACTTAAGAACACAGGCATGTGGTTTGTCCCGCCACTCACTCGCCCATGGGAACACCCCACCACTGTAGCAAAGCTTTTCCTGTTTTTAGGGATGAGCTCAGACCAGCTACATCAGATCCCTTTTCTTTGACTCGTTTACCACTGAATAGGGCTGGGACCAGGTGCCACATGAATGGGTATTGCTCTCAGATTAACCACAATTCATGCCCTCCTTTTGTATAAAAAGGTGAATTTTAGAGCAGTCGTGTCCAGGTGACTGTCTCAAACGGCAGAAACACAGACAAAAGTGACTTGGGTTACAGGATGGGTTACAGCCCCAATGGGACAGACAATGACTTGGCCTCAAATGAATGTGTTGACTGTCAGTGTCTCGCATCTTTACAAATGCCCCAAGTTGTCTCTGTGCAAACATTATCCACCAAGAAAAGAAAAGGGCACTTAAAACATGGGTTTCGCTCTTAAAGACTTCTCCTTCCTTTTGTTTGCCCCACAGAATTAATATGGGGTGGTCTTGCCTGCCATTGATATTCTGAAGAGGGTCTTGGTGCATAAAGCTAGTGGCCCTCTTGAATTTTCTGCAAAACGAATTATCCATACTCATTGCTATTATCTTTTTGTTTTTCATCAGGAGAAGTTACCGCACAGAAATAGTGAATTCCACGCCACACAGGACAACAGGGGCATAACTCAGCGAGCGAAAAGAAGTCCCGGCAAGCAGTCAGAAACAGGTATGTTGTTTGGAATTATCATCATCTACTAATGCCGTGTCTTGTCCTTATACGTGATACGGAAGTTGTATTCAGACATGTAATCTATCCCTTCTGCATTTGTCAGGCTCAAACTTCAAATTCAGTACCCAATATGACCAAAAAGGAAACGCAAACCTGCATCTATTTTTGGGAATTGTACATCTGTTGAGCAACTGTAATTTGTGTTTGTTTGGAGGGGTACAGTGTAAATAACAGACGTTTGAAGGGGCTTAAAGCTCTTAAATTTTCAAAACGGTTTGTTAATGGTTTCTCACTTTTCGTGGAATTGATTTTTTTATTACTTTGTGCTAACTTAACAAAGCAGCTCCACCACAAAATGTTGCATAGTTTATAGAGAGAAGGATTAAATGGAATGGGATTGATTATTACTTGGATAGCAAACAAGGGGTTTGGGAGGGTTTCACCAATTTGAAACAGACAGCGGAGCCCGGGTTGAAATAATATTAGGTCCCCAAAATATATTTTCTATCTGTCAAATAAGCAGATAGCGAATTTTGTATTCAAAATATGTTATCGGCCAGGTCTGAACCATCAGAAAAAAAGATGAGAAACAGAACCACTTTGTAGTACATAAAGTAACTTTAAAGAACCAGGTGGCCATTTCTGAAACAGCTTATCATCTGAGACTTAGTTGGCTTTCATTAATCCCTCCGAAATGATTTATCGTAATCAATAGCTCTGCAGCAAACCATATGGCCAATATGTCTGAATTTGCTTTTGTAGTTTTTGTTTAGAATGTGAGCTATGCAAATAAAAAAAGCAAAGCCTTTGAAGTTTCATGTCTGAGTGCAACAAGTGCAGCATGATCACAAGGCATTCCAATGTCTGTGGCGTGACACTGAATACTTGGGGGGGAAGTTTAGTGATTGTGTTTAAATTAGAAGAAAAAACTCACCTTTGAGACTTTCTACATAAATCAGTAAAGTCCCGAGCCTCTAAACACTAATCATTCCCAGGTCTCTCCTCTGCTCTCAGCCCACAGACAAAGGCTTTTGTAATCTCAGCCTTAGATGTGTGTGTTTGTGTGTGTAAGTGTGTGTGTGTCCTGTGTTTGCACGTGTGTGCGTATGCGCGTATGCGTGCGTTCTGGGCACTCCTAACGGGCACCAGATTCCAGATAGGGCTGCTCGTTAAGAGAAATCTATGCGGATGCATCCAGTCATTTAGCCAGAGGAGAAACACTGGCCATATGTTTGAGGGGGACTCAAACTGTGAGGTTTTAAGGTTAAATGGTCTTTGTAGTTGTAATGACATGGTAAACACAAGAGCAGCAAGACGGCTTTTTGAAAAGGATTCTTCAGCTGCACACTGGGCATGCACACACACAGACACACACCAAGTGCATTTTGTCTTTTAAGCACTGACATCAATGCCACACCAACATCCATGCACGCACGCAACACACACACTTACACATGGTTGTAAAGGGGAGAAGCACACGCACACATGTACACACACTTTCATCTACATTCTCCATCTGGGCCTAATTCAAAGAAAAGGATTTTGGCAGGATAAAGTATCTCTCTAATGATCTTCTCCAGTTCCACTGCCTGTGAATGCTTAAGGCACTTGTTCATACAGAGGAGGTGAAACCACACTTACAAATTACTACACTAGAAGATACCACAGACTGACATACCTCCACTCCAGTGCCGAACATCTGAATCTGTTATTTTAGCCCATTTAGGATGCCTACACAGCGCGCTGGGTACTAGAGATGTTACCGGAGATGATAATTGTGCACGAGACCATTTCAAGTTCAATCACACTGTTTTTATTTCCTACAGAATCTACTGGAAGGGAAAGGAGGAAAGAGAAGAAAAAAGGTAATGCATGATTTAACCAACCTTTCACTGATGGTTGGTCATTGATAAGACTGCTACCTGCTCCATACTCTCTGTTAGTTCTCTTGAGATGTCGTCCAAAATCCAGTAACCTTGTACGCTAACAGTGGTTCAATGGTTGATTCAGCCCGTCAAGCACATTTTCCCTGCCTTTTGCCTATCTTCATATCAAGCTGTACAATCTGTATTGATAACGATTGTAAAGTTTGTGTAATGTTCGTTAGTTTGGGCTATATAAATAAAGTTGACTTGATAGTCAAAAGATTATTTGTCTCAGCTTCTTTGATTGCCAACCATTTTGCTTTCTCTCTTTACAGGAAGAAAAAGGTCTGTGCCAGGCCCTCCTGGCCCCCCGGGTCCCCCGGGCCCACAGGGGCCACCGGGCATCCCTGGAATCCCCGGTATTCCAGGAAGCAACGCTGTAGGGCCTTCAGGACCCCCAGGACCCCCCGGGCCGCAGGGACCTCCGGGCACTCAAGGTCCAGCAGGTATTAAAACTTTAAATAGAAATGACGCGATAATGCGCTGAGATAGCCAAGTCTCCAGCAGGAGGACTGGAAAACACCCAGGAGTTGAGAGATTGGTTCTTAGATTACACTATTTTCCCGTATGTAGACACGTTCCCACACTAGAAGGGGGCTCAAGTTGTCAAAATCGATGAACTCATTGCCTTCACAGTGAGAGTTTCTGATTCAGCATGTCAAACATAGTGTGGGAGAGCAGTGTTCGTTCCTTAAACTATTTCACTGTTTGTTTTCTTTTAATCGTCATCCTCTCCTTTGTTCCCCAGCAGTGTTGAAAGCCAGAAATTCATCATGTCTGTCTTTCCATTTTGTTGCAGGGGTTCCCGATAAGACGAAAACAAAAGAATACCAGGTAGAGTATGTCAGCTATTAAAATAAAATGTCCCTGATGAAACAGATGTTCTCTTGTTTTACTATGTAACCAGATTAGTCACCAGAGATCTTTATGTTTCAGCCTGCAGTGGTTCATTTGCAAGGGCAGGAGACAACCATCCAAGTGAGAGAGGGTGAGTCTTCTGTTTTACTCTGTTGTAGTTACACCTCTGCCTTTTTGATTAATAAGGAAACCTAATAAAGATCTGCAACTGTTAGACTATACATAGACTTACACCAGAATACAAATATTGTAAAATATATTCTGTTTAGAGGGCTTAATGTGGTTGTAAATATTTACTTGAGGAGTATGTAAGATTATAGTAACCCTAAAGTAAGGCTATAGCTAATCCAGGATTAGGATACAGCCATAGGCTTGCATTACAAGTCAGACCTGTGTTATCTCGGGTTGAGCCTTGCTTGCTAGCAGGCTGCTAGCAGCAAAAGACTGCATGCGTCATTATCAGGTTTATTATGTTCAACTGAGCTCTGATTTGAGTTAAACACTGCTGAAAGCTGTTTATGTTGACCGTTTGCCTCTGGTTTGTTTGTTGTGACGTGTTTAGATCTGTCTGAAGGCATCCTGAGGAACTGGAAGATGGTGTCCATCCATCACCGCGTGTTTAAAATGCACTCTCGCTCTGGAGAGCTGGAGGTGCTGCTGGACGGTGTCTACTTCATATATAGTCAGGTAGAAGTGAGTACGGTTCTTGACGTAACTCTTATAATTTACAGACAAAAGAACTGGCAGGTGCTCAGTAGCTAACTTAAACACCTGCTTGCTTTGCTCAAATGTTTTGAGTTATAGCGGCGACATATTTATTCTCCCTGTCCCTGTGCTATACAGTAACTCAAAGCCTTGTTGCTACTCTGATATTCCAGCTGTTCCAGCATTACATAAGCTCTTAAATATCACTACCCCTCTCAGTCTTGTGTGAATTTCATGTCTCCGCCAGGTGTACTACCTCAACTTCACTGACATCGCCAGCTATGAGGTGATGGTGGACTCCAACCCGTTCCTTCGCTGCACCTGCAGCATCGAGACAGGACAGCGCAAGTTCAACACCTGCTACACAGCCGGGGTGAGCCTGCTTCGAGCTGGCCAGAGGATTTCCATACGCATAGTGTACGAGGACACGCTCATCAGCATGACCAATCACACCACCTTCCTGGGAAGTGTCAGACTTGGAGAGGCTCCATCTGCTGGACAGAACTGAAAGCTACACAGCCACCAGCCCTCTACGTGAAATGCCCAAAGTCTTGCCCCCATTTAGAGGAAACTTAAATCCTCCGGGTTTCAAAGTTGAGGACCCCCTCTGCAACTTTTGTTCACTCCCAGTTCTCTATTATAAAAAAGGACAATATAGACGTTTAGGCTTCCCCCCCACGAGCAAAGAGATCAGTGTTGATGAGCCTCATCAAACAGACGTTTCTATTTATAGTCTCCCTTTTGTGTCAACACAGACGCTGGCATCTCTCTTTATAACAAGGAAGGACACTGCGCTGACATATACTTAATATTTACATATTTGTAAGTGCTGTTGAATGATAATCTTGTATCTCCAAAAAACAATTCAAAATGTTTTATTTGCAGTTTGTGTACTTGGCAATTTGTATTAATTTAATTATATTAACACTTATAAGTAAGTGGTTTTACAAAAGGTTTTAAGCTCCATTTAGGCTATACATTTTTCAATGGATCATATACATGTTCAAAGAAAGTATAAATGAATCTATGCAAAGTAGAGAAACATTCATAAAACTGGAGTTATAAGGTATTCAAAGAGCAACAGCACTATATATTTTTGCACACATTTGCACTACAGCATCCCTGCAGAATATCAGCGATATGTTTTGTTACAGTGCTATTGTTTAGTTATCGAATGAATGAATCCATGTGGGGAAATGATATTGTTGTTAATACGTCTCTGTACATATTGTATATAAAAAGGGATATACTTTTGTAAATGGAGTTGATTGATGGATTAAATGTTACATTTTTTGTCTAAATGCTTTTGTCTTGCTCTTGTTGTTGTGTAGCGGGTGGTATTGATTTAAAAGGTTAATGCTCCTCTTTCATGTTGGACTCTGCTGGCACAAGTATTGACAAGAACAAATGATGTTCTTTGAGTGAGGCGTTTGGTTTTATTAAAATGTGGCTTTTACTTTGAGGGCAAGTTTCACAATACTCTGCAAATGTGGCTGTACTATTCATACACTCTAAATGAGTTCCATATTGTCGTTTTCTCATACTGATATTCTGCACAAACTGTGCTGTTGTATTTGCTGTAAAGTGTCCTTACTGTAGGGTAATTATTATATGTACAGCACTTTGGCTCGACCAAAAATCGTTTTAAAAATGTGCTATACTGTATAAATAAATAAATAACTTGATTTGATATTGAGAGGCAGAGGAAAGATAGTTCCTCATTTTGAAACTGAACATTTAAGGTTTCCGGGGTTAACTGATGTGTGACCTCATCCATTTGAATAACTTGAGGACATGCAGTCTGTCTCACGATGCTTTACAATGCTTTATCACTCACAGCATTTATGTTTTGTCTTAGTCTTTTCCTGGTGCACAGAGCCAGTGTTTTAGAAAATGATTTTCGAAAACTCCAAGGGGACATCATTCTACAATTGAATCAGCCACTTTCTGAGGGAGTCAATGGGAAAATGGCCAAGATGTCTCAAACAAGGGAGGTATGTCACTGATTATGCAGGATGGAGTCATCTTGGACATCCTATTACTGAGATTTATGCCATTAGTGAGTTCTCGGATAAAGCTGCAATAATAAATGGTCTCCTAATGCTTTGTTTTCTCTTAGGAGATAAAGCCAAGTACTTTGCTAAAAGCACAGAGTTCTCTGAAGATGTTTTCTAGGAGAGTAAAACGGGAACAGGGCAGCTGCAGAGGTGGGTTGGAGCTGAGAACTGAAAATTAGTTACGGTCAATTCTGGTGGTGAGAACATTACCAGTACATGCTAAGTTAATAAATAAAGTAATATGTTTATTTTTTCTCCTATTGCCAGTTCCAACATCATTCCTGCAGTTAACAGCTAACACAAACAAACAGCCAGACATAAGAGGTAAAACTAAATTCAAGTACTTGGCTTCAGCATCGCAGTGTATGCCATTATTTTGAGTAAGTGTACTTGCCTCCTCCCATAGGAAATATAACAGTGATCCCTTGGACTGTTACTGCGCAGCAAGGAAATGCAATTTCACAAAAGGAAAACAGAATTGTTGTCCAAGAAGATGGATTTTACTTGGTGTTTGGACAAGTATTGTGTCACTGTAATTCAAGCATAACTAAATTGATATTACATCTGATTTGTTACAACTGTTCCGCTGATGTTCTGCTTAATTCACAGGTTTTGTTCAATAGCCCAAGTACAGTTATGGGTCATATCATTCGCAGTTGGGCTTTCGATAAAACTTGGACCACATCAACAGAGCTGTTGCGTTGCTTGCAATGGCTGATGAAACTCCTGCCAATACATGCTACACTGGAGGTCAGTGAGGCGATACTGTTGGCCTGCATAGTGGCAGCTTAAACATATACTTCAACATATGGGGGAAATAAATATGCCCTTTTGCTGTCTTGCCAAGAGTTAAATAAGGAGATTCATAACACTTTCATATCTGGTTCTTACATATAACGTCATGTAAATCTGTATAAAAAGTTGTCTGCATATGAATGTAGAATTGGCACGGACGGATTCTGGTTTCCATTTTTTTTGTAGTCCAAGTAGTATCATCGTTCACATAGCTGGCTTTAGTTGGATACAGGTAAACAGTCCATGTGGAAAGCAAAAGAGGCTGAAGGCCTTGGCTGATAAGCAATCTCGTAATCCATTGGATAATGGATTAAAGCTTTGAGAAATAAACTGTAGCAGCTATAGTGTAAACGGACTACTAGTGAAACAATTGGGTTGTCTTTCAATTCCAACTCTGTTCTCGCATCTTAAATTTCTAATTGAACTAGTTAACCCAGCTCTGTCCATAGTTTAAACTACATTTGCACCATTGTGTTTGATATATTTGTAAAAGCAACACATTGTGGTTGTACCGGACTATTTTGTTGTCACATTGTGGTGTCTCATCGTCACACTGAGGCGAACAGTTTGAATGAATGACATTATGTGCTGCTCGAAGAAGGATTGTGTTACCATTGGACAGAGCTAGCTGTTTCCATCTGTTTAAACTATTTGTGCTAAGCTAAACTAACCAGCTGCTGACTGTATTGTTTTATATGTACAGTTCAGGCATCAGAGTGGTATTGATCTTCTCACTGAGCTCTGGGCAGAAATTATGATTGTGTGTTTTTCCCAAAATGTTGCACTATTTCATCAACTTTTGCAGCCTCTTCACCATTTTCTTTGAGGGGTCAACAAATATATCTTTTGACTGGCTTTCATCCCTCCAGGAACAGCTCCAGGGACTTGAAGAGTCTGTCCTCTCTTGGCCCTTGTCACCTATCTTTTATCTCCTTTGATTCGTTTTTTTGTCCTTTGCACACAGGCATAGTGCAGCTGCATCAGGATGATGAGCTGGAGTTGGTGATACCCAACAGGCAACACACCCTCATCTCTATGGATGCAGAATCCACCTTTTTTGGTGTCATACAGCTAAACTGAAACAAGTCGGTCTGAAGATGATAACAATGCAGCTCAATGCTGCAGGAAGTGGGAAACTGACACTGAGCTGTGTGAGGGGATGCTGATAAAGGACAGAAGTGACAGCAGCAGGAAAACTGTCGGGACATGTCATTAATCTCAGGAAAATGCATTATCAACTTTTTTAATTAACTGCCCATCTCATGTGTCCTTTTCTTTCACAGTACTTTTTAAATCCTTAGCTCTAAACTGTCATGCTGTGTCTTTCAGATACACCTGGGCCTGTCCTCTGGCATTGTTTATGTGTGCTAGCACCTCCTTTCATCAGTCTATTTTAGTATGGCTCTTTATACCTTGCATGGGGCTATCCTCCAGCTCAACCTCCGCTCTGTCTGTTTATTTGTTCCTCTCGTCTATTTTAGAATGGTTTCCGTTTTCCTAAGACTATGTCAGGAACAAACAAAGGTATAAATATATGCAGCTCTGGCGGTGTTGTCCTGGTACGAACTCCTTAACACTGTAGATATTTAAAAATAAATCATGATCAAATTAAAGTAGTTATAGATCGGATAATATGTCAAAGTACAAATTAATTATCACTTAGTATACAAGGGTGTAACTAAATATGTATAATTGATCACAATGAATAGAAAAAAACATGTACATACTTGTCTATGAGCCTCTTTTTTATCCAAATTAAATATGTCGTTACTGAGAGGTTTTTTTTTTTAAACAAAGCAATATATCAGTGGTCAGGCCTTCATTGTCTAAATATATCCACAATGCCTATCTGGTGTCCACAGCTGTTTTCTCTCTCGCTTTTTTTATGAAGCATGGCTATAAGAGGGTGTGTTTAAATGAGCTCTGGCAGCAGTAGTGGTACAGTTGAACAGCAGCAGAAGCAGCAGCAGCAGCAGATTGAGGATGGTCAGACATATGTTCTCTAATCTCCTACTTCTCTGGTCAGTCGGCCATGACCTTTATATAACTGGACTGACACATCACAAGCCCAAGGTAGGCCAAAGATTATATAATTCAAATGTTTTGTAATAGCAATTTCTTTTATTTTTTTAACTTTGGCTTTTATGGGTCCCTCTTTGATTATGATTAATTTTCCTTTCATTTCAAGGAGCAGTCCTGGAACAATCAAAATCTCTATTCTGTCCCTCTGGATTTAGATGTAAGGCTCAGAAGACTAGACCTGTCCAATAACTTCATCACACAGTTGCACACACTTGCTTTGCCTTACTTGGAACAGCTGGACCTGAGCGCCAACCAGCTGGATCTCATCTCCGAAGGAGCTTTTGAAAACCTGACTCATCTTGAGGAGCTGAATTTGTCCAGAAATGTGCTGAACAACAACCTTGGCAGTAACGTCAAAGCCCTCCAATCCATCAGTGGACTGAAGAGTTTGGACATATCAATGAATGGTTTGAGAAATGATGCAGTGGGACTGTACCTTAGAAACAAACCATCTCTTGGTCAACTTAAAATGACTGGTAATGCTTTAACAAGACTTTCACACAACTTGTTCAAAGAGAGTAAAGGTTTGAGGGCCATTACTATTGATGACAATCAGATATCGGTCATAGAACGGGGGACATTTGAACCATTGAGCCAATTAGAGATGCTTAACTTGGCCAAAAATAACCTTGCCCATATTTGTGATTTTAAATTAACTCAAGTTAAATATCTCAATCTCAGTCAAAATTCAGTTGAGTTCTTTGTTACACGTGAGGATGACCAGTTGTACCGGCTTGAAATTCTTGATCTAAGTCACAACAATCTCCTTTAT